CTTAAAGTGCGTTACCCCCCACAGAGGCTTGGCAAATATTACGAGCTATTCATGAAGGTGTGTGTGGAAACCACTCAGGGGGGAGATCATTAGCACACAAAGCAATGGCTCAAGGGTACTTCTAGCCAAACATGTCGCGAGATTCGGAAGAATTGTCCAGAAGGTGCGATAAGTGCCAAAGGTTCGGACCACTGATTCACCAACCACCTGAAGACTTGCATGTAATGGCCACACCATGGCCTTTCGCGCAATGGGGGATGGATGTAGTTGGTCCTCTACCAACTGCCAGAGATCAGAACAAGTATGTGTTGCTGGCTACAGACTACTTTACTAAGTGGGTGGAAGCAGAGCCGTACCCGAGCGTTACTTAAACTCATGTTAGACGATTCATTTGGAGTAATATTATTTGCCGGTTCGGTGTTCCGAGGTCAATCGTCATGGATAATGGTACCAACCTTGACAGTAAGCAGGTAAGAGAGCTATTGGAGGAGTATGGAATTAATCAAAAGCTGGCAGCAGTAAGTCACCCACAGGCCAATGGACAAGCGGAAATTACAAACAGAACAATCTTTACTTGTATCAAGAAGAAACTAGAAGAAAGGAAAGGAAGGTGGTTAGATAAACTGCCGAACGTCCTATGGGCCTACAGACCGACCCCAAGAAGACCGACCGGAAAAAGTCCATTCACCATGGCATATGGAACCGAGGCAGTTATACCGGTCGAGCACTTAGTTCCGACCGTTCGAAGCTTGGCCTGGAGCCGTGAGCATCATGACAATATGCTAAGGTTTAACCTCGATTTGCTGGAAGAAAAAAGAGATGCAACAGCGGTGAGGCTCGCCTCTTACCAGCAGACACTTGCGAACAGCCATAACAGGAGAGTAAAGCACAGAGACTTTAGGCCAGATGACCTGGTTCTGAAAAAGAAGGTGGGGATAGTCAAAAAGATGATGCCACCATGGGAAGGCCCATACAGAATTGCAGAGGCCATAGGAAAAGGCGCATATACCTTAGAAACCATGGCCGGAAGGCTGGTTAACAAGCCTTGGAATGCTACTTCTCTAAAGAGGTATTATCAATAAAAAGTTGAGATTCAGTACTGAATTCTGTTTATTTTAAATTGAAAACAGTTGAATGTATGAGTTTTTGAGATTTATAAAGATTGCACTCCTCTTTAAAATCCTAAGCAAAGTACGTGGCAACTGGCACTATGAGCCGAACGTCAAACACTCGCTAAGAAAAATAACAGGCCAAGTGGCAAGAGGCATTCCAGCCGAGCGCCAGGCACCTAAGCAAAGTAAGTGGCAGCTGGCACTATGAGCCGAACGCCAAACACTTGCTAAGAAAAATAAAAGGCCAAGTGGCAAGAGGCATTCCAGCCGAGCGCCAGGCACTTAAGTAAAGTAAGTGGCAACTGGCACTATGAGCCGAACGTCAAACACTTGCTAAGGAAAATAAAGGGCCAAGTGGCAAGGGGCATTCCAGCCGAGCGCCAGGCACCTAAGCAAAGTAAGCGGCAGCTGGCACTATGAGCCGAACGCCAAACACTTGCTAAAAGAAAATTAGAGGGCCAAGTGGCAAGTGGCATTCTAGCCAAACGCTAGACACCTGAGCAAAGTAAGTCGCAGTCAGCACAATGAGCCGAACACTAAACACTCGCAAAAAAAAAGAAAAAAAAAAAGAGTTGACACAAAAAATCTGATCAGGAGTCGGCCATCTCATTAAATAAGCTTCAGAAGGTTACAAAAAATGAGGTGTAAAGATGGCACACGTGCCAAAGTTAGTACATTTAAAAAAAAAGAAAAAGAAGAGAGGTCCTAACTAAGAGGCGTTTGCCTCGTCGGCCTCTTGATGATGTTGGGCCACCTCCTCATTGTTGGTGGTGTCGCCATCCTCACGAGGTGGAGAGTCAAGATGAATGACAGAATCGTTCTGTTGAATCCTACCCTCTGCAGCGTTGGAAGAATCATTCTGCTGAGGGTTTTCTTCAGCAGTAACGGTAGATGGAGTCAAAGCGGACACAGGGAGAATGTCCAAAGTCAGAGCGGCATGATGAGTAGGAGTGATCCGAGAAGATGCAATCTCCTGACATTCATCAAATATCCCCTCGGCAGCGATTGAGTCCGGATCGACATAAACACTAGGAGGGTCAATATCCAGATCCTTATCAACATCATTAGGGGTAGAGCTAGTCTGACCCTCATCCGGGATGCGATCGGCGTAACCCTCTTGGAACCCCTGGGCATATCTGAGGGCCCCGACTCTAGAGAATCGAGCGTGCAGAGCTAGCATACCACCATTTACCCTGCTGATGGTATCAAGTAAAGCGTTGCGCTCGTCCAGAGCCCTCTTCTCAAAGGCCATCCGAGCGGACTGCTCGTCATTCAGAAGGCGAAACAGCTCTTCCTTCTCGGCCCGAAGGGATTCCCGTTCGGTCTGCCAGACACTCTTTTCAAGTTGGAGAGCATTCCTCTCATCCTGAAGAGAGTCGGTTTCCCTCCTCAGCGAATCCCTCTCTTTTTCAGTTTTACCGAGTTGAACCATCAACCTGGTCTTCTGAGCAGCTAAGTTGTCGTTCTCCTTGTTCACTATGCTAAGGCTGTCAGAGAGCGCGCGGACCTTGGCATTCACCTGCTCAACTTGTTTTTGCATAGCCATCATCCCGTACAAGGTCTGTAGAGATATACAGGACAACTGGTTAAGCCGAGCAGATGGTTAGAAGAAAATAAGTGGCAAGAGTATGTAAAGATTTATTGACTAAGGGGTAGAAGTTACCTCCATGGCGGACAAGGGGAATCGGCTGAACACCTCCCTCTGAGATAGACCTTTGGCTACCTCGATGTCTTTGGGAGTCCACATACTCCTGTAGTAGGCCATCGCGGTCTGACCATCTTTGAACATGGTCTCGGTCGGCTTCACAGACGATCTGTCTGTTCGGATGAAGCGAGGGCTCCATGGCGCCGTTCCTGAAGCGGAGGCTTGCCCAGAAGGGGTGGGGGGCCTAGCTTGAGGAGGTCTCGCCAGGGAAATCACATTCGGCCCAGAGGGCCTAACCCTCTGAGATAAGGGAACGTCATCCACGCTCAGAGCACTGTCAGGTTGATGCCTTTTTCCTCTGGCCTTTTCCCGTGCGGAAGCAGCAGTAGAGCCAGGAGGATTGTTGGCAGAGGGGGCAACGTTCGGGCTGGCAGTCGCCGTGTTAGCGACCGAGTAAGCAGCCGTCGCGGATGGATCGGTGGAAGGAGTGGTGTCAGAAAGAGTAGCGGAGGAAGATGCTGAAGCCGGTGGGGAGATTGACGCAGGAGTGATAGCAGGCCTGGGGGCAGATTTCTTCCTACCGAAGGAAGGGATCTGGAGTTGGCTCATTGTCTTGCCGAGGACTGAAATGTCGAGGAGATTATCTGAGGTGAGGAGGTCCGAGCAAGAGGGAACGTTGGTCAGAACGTACCGCTTCAAGTAGTTATCCCTATCCCTGCACACACTGTAGCTCAAGTCATCACAAGGAATGCCTAAGGAATGGCACAAGAAAGAACAAAAACGAGGAATGCAGATCTCGCAAGGACAGTCACTCTTATGGTTTTTATATTTCTTGTAAAAAGAGACAGAGCACTCTTCGAAAGCGCTCGGGATAGGGAAACCCTCCGCAGCTGGAGAGAACCAGGCTCCCCTAACCCCAATGATGTTTTTCCTCCAGCCTTTCTCAGATTTGATCTTATTCGTGCAGATAGACCTCTTCTCAATGGGAAAAAGGTGGTAGAATGGTTCATCAGTTTTGATCTTGCTGACCTTGTAACAAAGGAGGAGATCTACGAGGTCCAGATCCAGACCTCTGTCACGAATCAGGAGTAGCATAACGGATAAAATCCTAAGGAAATTGGGGTTTACTTGTAAAGGGGAAAGATTTAGCTTGTTAAATACATAGCAAAAGAAAGGATGTAGAGGAAATCTAAGGAGATTGAGGTGGAGGAGTGAAAACAAGGCCTCGCCGGGAAGAAGGCCAGCACCGTATCTAATATTCACTTCCCGGGGGCAGTTTCTAATTTCTACATCATCAGGAAGTTGAAGTTTCATGCGAAGAACGTCTAGATCTACTGTCATGTTGTGAGTGGATGAGGATTCCGGGGAGAGGAAAGAAGTCTTCCAAAAGAAAAATGCAAATGAAACTAACCTTAGAGAGTGAAAACGGCAGAGAAGTATTGCAAAGCCACTGGAAGGAAGATCTTTCGCAAGAGATCGCCAGAGAGGATTCAAGCAGCAAAAGGTGAGATGGAGACGGTAAAGAGGATCGATGGAGAGTTGATGGAGCTTATAAAGACGAGATAAGCCCGAGCCCCGAGGAGTCAGGAAAGCGATGGGTTGTCTTTTTGAATCTCGAAGCGCCGACCCCTAGATCTAACCGTCCATTCTCCCACACGATCTCCTCGAGCCGTCAGGTCATTATTAGCAGCCTCTAATAATTACCCCCTAATCAATAAGGGGTAATTATGGGGGCAGTTGAGGATGCGGCAAGTGGCATGGGCCGGATATGGATCGCGGAAACGAGATCGGGTCGAATGATTGAAGAAGGATCCATGTCAAAGCACCCTAGAGTGGGCCGAACGTGGAGGGTCCACCGAGGAAGGTCAAGCCCATTACAAGACCCAGCCCAGAAGGAAGAGGACTTTGGGCTATAAGCCCAATGTAATTTGGTTAACTGCAAAAGAGGGTCATGGCCTATAAATAGACCATGACGGAGGGAGAAGAGAGAGAGAGAGAGAAAGTAAGAGTGAGAGAGATGAAACTGAATATTGTATCTTCACCGACGTAAATGAAAATATTATGGAGAGATATATAAATTTAGTAAATCAACGCTATAAATGATCCAAGTGTGATATAGGAATACAATTGTGACAATAACTGATAAAACAAATAAAGAAACATGATTAACAACTTACCAACCACAGAAAAGGTCTCTAAAGTCTTACTAATAAAAAAAAAAAAGAGAAAATAAAGGTGCTTACAAGATAAACAAATCCTTCTGAAGCTTCAACAATGGCTTTCATTCGATTTGTTGGAGTAGTGGGTGTTGTAAGTAGTACCTTAATTGCACAACAATATAAACTTACTGACCAACTGTATATTACATAAATCAAAGTAAAACCGCAAGTAGATTACTATGATCAAATAACTGAACAAACAGACTATCAAATGCATAATATTTATCCAAGAATGTATATTATACTTATAAAAAAAACTGAGAATTTAATAGTTTTCTTAAATGAATAAAAATAAAATAAGAGGTCAAAAAGTTACAATTTGTTTACTAATTAAATAAGAGATCATCCAGATCACATTTTTCCCTAAAAGAAGTTTGTTTTTTTAAAAGATGTTGGTTCCAATGTCTGAGACACTCCATGCAACATATGTAGTGCTGTATAAAGTAAAAAATATGAAGCAAGTTCAAAAAAATTTCTTGTCAACAACTCCCTACTTAAGATCATTCTTTTCTTCTAAATTAACAGTCCAATGAGATAATAATAGTTATATTGAAAACTAATACTTGTAAAACTTAAATAATTCTTTTGAACCATTTAATCATAATCTGATGAAAAAACCGTTTATTGACAACTGTGCCTTAAATACACACACATGCATAAATAGATAGCAAGAACCACTATATTGACCAGTTACTCTTCAGAGTTGATTAAAATTTTAATTTTGTGAAGGCTGGTGATTTACCACCTGTAATCATGTATCTAAGTCATTAGCATACTAACTAAAGAAAAGGAACAAAATAATTAAAATCATAAACCAACCAATTCAATTTTATTCTTAAGAGCTTCCCTTCTCAAGATCTCAGTCTCCTCCAGAGGAACATCCGGGACCACAAGTCCTGAAAAGAAGCATGTTTATAGAAAGATTATAGATAACCCAGAACAGTAAAGAACAAAAATAAATACATAATAGAGAAAACAGCAGGATAACATACAGAAAAGAAGAAAAAAAATACTTGAAAACGAATAATATAAGCATCATAAGAAGGGAACCATCCATTAAATTTGTGAAATATCATTCTATTAGTAGTTAAAATAATCCTCACAGCAGTTTCAGAAACTGGTAGTCATGCACTATGTGCATTTTACATGCCCTCCGCCAGTAAAAATTAACTTGAATCAACAAAAAAATCATCTTAAGGATTGGTACTTGAGTCACACTAGTCTAAACCATCTAGTGGCAAGTATAACAAGTAAAATAAGCAATCACATAAGACATAGACAGCCGAGGGCATATTGCAAAGAATGATTTAGATACCTACTTATAAGTGTATATTACTTTGTTAATTTGAATTTTAACTTAGATCTTTCATACTTCGTATTTAGTTGTTTATACAAGGTCCTACTTATAAGTGTATAATACTTTGTTAATTCGAATTTAAACTTGGGTCTTTCATACTTCGTATTTAGTTGTTTATACAAGGTGTACTCACAGGCCTAGACCTCATGCTTAAAAAACCTCTACTCATGAATAGCATATAATATTCCCTTTGCTAATATATATATATATATATATATATATATATAACACAATTGTAAAAAATATAATTCAGCAAAGCATAGATTATAAATTACCATGTACACCGACATCTTTCACCGTAGTCATGAACTTCTCAACCCCTCGCTTAAGTATTGGGTTGTAATATGAAAATAATGCTACTGGACAAGATAATTGCGGTATCACCTATTTAGTCAATGGTGAAAACGTGATGTTAGAATTTCATGGAGCATGATTAGATTTAAAGAATTAGAAAAGGCAAGCAGTCCACAATTACAGTTCTGGCAGTGGATAAATGCATGGAATTGAATTAAGAGAGTAACTTTAAAGTTGGGTGAGACGTCAACAATTAAGACTGTAATGGTGGTTTTGCTTCTTTGAAGTATAAGTATATTATTTTAATGTGATATGTATATGATATTCATACAAGCTAGACAACTTTTAGGCAGAAATTGCATTCGAAATTAAAATGTACACATAATATGTGAGAACAAGAATGCTACTTCTCTTCATTTGAAATGTTTATAAAGTTATATCAGAAGTATAAGATTGTCTAAAGTAATGAAAATATACTGTTATAAGAAGGAAAATATTCAAGATCACCACCCTAAACAGTCAAAATATTTTAAGAAAATCTCACAAGAATCTGATTAATGATCTTTCGCTTGAAAAATGCACTAACAAAAAAAGAAAATTTGAGCCTGTTACAAAACATGGCAATACATCAGGTCCATTTGATATATAGGTAAATTGGTATTCTGTATTAATGCACGTTTCTTTTATGGATGGAAACAGATATGGGGAGAAAGAACATAGCAATAATGAATCTACCTCCTTCAACAATGAGATAATCGAATTGAAATTGGTCCCTCTTGCCAGTGAACGTGTAGCAGCAGCCTAAAATTATTTATTTAAAAACATACATCAGCTTGAAAATTTGTAATGGAACAACACTAAGCAAACAATCACATTTTTTTTTTTTTCTCTCTCCAATAACCACTTTGTCAAACCTGTATAACTGGACCATCTGCCAGAGGATCAGAGTATGGTACACCAAGTTCGATTATGTCCGACCCACACGCGTCAAGCACCTTCATTGCTTCGGCTGTTGTTGAAAGGTCAGGATCACCGGCTGTGATGTATGGGATAAATGCCACCTTTGCACAAAAAACATTGTTGTTAAAAAACTAAAATAAAATTTATGAAATAAAATCATATATGTTCATTGTTGTCAGTGTCAAATACTGTTCCATTGGTTTCTTATATTGACTGATCCTCAAATAAATTTGGTGAAACTATAAGTAGTCAGGAATTCATAAGATTATTAGTCACCAACTCATCAGTTAAGAGATATACAAGTTTCAATATTATCAGTTACATCAAATAAGCACCTATACTGGCATCCATGGAGGGTTGTATTGTGAAAGAGTTTTTTGGTGCATTGGTCACAATGATAGTGAGGACTCAGCCAATGCAGCCTGAATATATATTTTTTACATATTGGTTTCCTACAAGTTCCTGAGTAAAGAAAGTGGGCTAGGTTCAAGTTGCCATTTTAACTGGTTTTATATGGTAAGCCTGAAATCAGTCTAACTAAAAAAATTATTATCCAACAGAAGCAGTGTTGAGAACAAAAGTATCAAAAATACAATTGCTGGAAAAAGACTTGGGGGTTAATGGAGAGCAGCAGTTTATGCCCATAGTTCAATACAGCTATTCACTGAAATGCCCCCATGCAAGGTCACAAGAAAAATCCATGATTGCACATAAAATAAATAAATAAATAAAAGTGTAAAATTATTTTTCTTTCATATCCATTAATGAAAACCCCTAAAATCTCACATTAATCGCACACAATAAACGATACAAAAACAAAACAAAAAAACAAACAAACAAAAAAACAAAAAAGAAAAAAAACAATTCCTAATCGACCTAAAGAAGCAAACCCATTTTATAAATAACAAAGAATTAAGAGAATCAAAAACCCATTCAGCTCCATAAACTAAAATCTTGCAAAATTGGAAAGAAATTCAAATAAAATGAATGAGGAGCAATTAAAAAACTAACTTTGCCTTGTCTTTTCAATTAATTCCTAATCGACCTAAATAATTAAACCCATTACAAACCCATTCAGCACAAGAAACTACAATCTTGCAAATACTATAAAGAAATTCAAATAAAATGAATGAGGATCAATTAAAAAAAAAAAAACTAACTTTGCCTTGGCTTCTCAATCTGGTGAAAGTTTCAGAGAGCCCAACGGTTGGGGCAGTGGTGAGAGTGGCCATTGGGGGTTTGAAGGTTTTGGTTGAAATGGAGAATCTCTGGAAATTAGGGCGAATGAGAAAAGGGTCTTCGGATTTCTTCTTCAATTGCAGGAAGCAAGTTGCTTTCAGTACAACGGCCATCACACTACACTCTCACAAGCAAATAACAGCGGGCCTTTTCTGTACGGTGGGTTTTAAGGAGTCGAGGGTTTTTACTCGAGATTTAGGACATGACAGGACAGGGCATCGTTGGCAATTTGATTACTTCTATACTTGTTTATTAAATTAATATCATTTCAGGGGTGAATTTATGAAAAAAATTAAATGCATTTATCACTTTCTTTTAAAAACTCCAATTTTTTAATTTATTTTTTACTTATTTAGATATTTAAGTGATAAGACAATTATGTTACCTTTTTCGCCTTTCTATTACCCTCTCTCTCCCAGTTTAGATGTCATTTTTGGAGAGTGAAATTTTTAAGGGAACACGTGGGACATGTCTTGTTTTCTTGAAAGTTACTAATTTACCTTTTTAAGTTTTAAATATTCAAGTTTGAAATTTTAAATTCCAAGAACATATATGAAAATATGTAAAATACATTGTTTGAAAAGAAAAAAAAATGACAATTATTTTGGGACGGACAACAAAAAAGTATAACATCTTTTTTGAAGCCGAAGGAGTACTATATTTCCTTTTCACTCGAGATTTATTAGTGGGATCATGGGTGGTAGAGGTTATACAATAGTTATGGGTTATTTTCCAAGTATCATGACTTCATAGTGTGATTTCAATTAAATTCAATTAAAATTTTGACATGGAAAGTCTTCATGAATGTTTTGCAAGAAAATTAGAACAATTTGAATTGCTAAATGCCATCATAGTTGTCCATTTTTTATTTTAAAACTTTTTAAGGAGACGCACTAATTGCATGCCTTCATGAGATGAGATTACCAGATTATCTTTTCAAGTTTAAATAAATATCTTATCAAATTGAGAGATTTTTAAAATTTTAAGTGTAATTTGAAATAATTGACTTTATCTTAATTTGACTTTCAAAATGGACAAGTATTACCCATAATGAGAAAATAGACAACTAATATGAGTAGGGATGGCAACGGGGCTGGTTTGGAGCGAGTTTCCCTAAATCCTGCCCTGCCTCTTTTAATTTTTGTCAAGTCCATGTGTAACGACCCTGATTTTTAGGCTAGCGTGTCTTGTGATGAACCGAAAATTGACCTGATAACGGATCCGATATGAGGAAGCGAAAACATAAAATAAGACTTTAAGAAGTCGAAGTGACCTTCCATGAGGTCGTGGAACTCAATGAGAACTGATGCGGGAGTAAAAGATCAAAAATATGACGAATAAGCTCCTAAGGGCAAAATAGTCATTTTTAAAAAACGTGGATTCGGGTGCCATTGAGCACACCGCTGGAAAGACAACAAAAAAATAGTCAGGATGGACTCAAGAATCGCATGATTCGGAGTCCGGACGAAGGAGAAACGGCCTGACGAAGAAAAACGAGCACTTAAGGCTAAAAGGGTAACTAGTAATTATTCAGGAAGATCCGGGTGCAACCGAGTACACCGTTGGAAAGACAGCAAAAAATTAGTCTAGGTCAAAAAAAAGTTCACTCGATTTGGAGTCCGGACAAGGGAGAAACGAGAGTTTGAAGTTGAGACGTCGCGGCGGCCCGACAAAGGCCATGGCGCACACGGCGCCCATGCATGAGCCCACTGGTGCCCAATGGCATGCACCAGCTGACAGCAAGAAAAAAAAAAAGTGAGGTTTTAGAACTGAGGCTTGAAACGGAGGCCGAAACGAATTTTTCTGGAAAAACACGAAGAAAAAACACCCCCTAAAATCGAGTTTTCTACTCGATTCTCGCGAATGGAATCGAAAAAAACTCACTGTGAAATCCCCAAAATGCCCCTAGATCAGAATTGAACAAGAGGGTTAAAAGTTGCTACAGTGACTGTCTGCAATTGAGAGCAAAAGCGGGTTAGAAGATGAATTTTTCTGGAAAAACACAAAGAAGAAACCCCCCTTAAAATTGAATTTTCTACGTGACTTACGAGAGAATTAAAAAAAAATGCAATGTAGAATGCCCGAAATGCCCCTCCATGAAATCTGGTCATGGAAGTCCAAAAAGCTGCTAAAAAAAAAACAGAAAGCTGAACTTTGCGATCGATTTTCGGCACCAAGACAACATTTTCTGGAAAAACACGAAAAAGAACCCCCCCCCCCCCAAAAAAAAATCACGTTTTCTAAGTGACCATGAGAAGAACGGAATTTATTTCCCGAAGGAAAATCCAAAGTGCCCCTAAGCCAGATTATGAAGAAAAAATGCAAAATGAATCCCTAGGAGGCTCAAATTGCCAAGGAAGAGGTTTTTCCCGGAAACGATTATGCACGCAGATGTAAATAGTGATTTTTAGCGCGCGGGAATGATCCGCAGCTCCCGGAAATGGCCGAGTCAAAATCTGACCCTCCAACGGCCAAAAAGGCGAAAATGAACTTGAAATGGAAAATATGGAAACCAAAATTAGGAAATGGTTTCAAATGACCGTTTGGCCCTTGGCCACACTTCATACAAGATAAATGAGACCTAGTGGACGTGCCGGAACACACTTTGCACCGCCCGATTTGAAAATAAACCCTTAAAGGCTCGGATTCTACTGTTTTAGCCCAATATGCAATATGTGAACTAAAATGCAAAAATGAACACTAAATGGTGTTTGGCCCTTGGCCACACCTCATACATGATTATAGAATCCCTATGAAAAAGAAAGAGTGGAATTACCATGCCCAATGCAAAAGTTATGAAGAAAAGACTTGTGAATTTTAAATGTTTTCATAATAACTTTGAAAGTAAAGTGCATAGAATACATAATACATGTTATTGGCCACCGGTCTCATCTTATACATGTTGAATACAATGAAAAGAGTGTACTTATGCACACTTTACATACATAGAATCAAAGAATACAAGTTTTGTCATGAGAAGCTACAAATCATCCAAGGCAATGGAACCTTCAAGTCTTGAGTCCTGTACCTGAAATATGCCCCAGTAACGTAGGTGTGAGCAACATAAAGCTACTCATAGGAGATGAGCATGCATCGACCTAGCATTTTACAATTTTATCACCTTAAGGTGAAACATGTCAGAGGGGCTCATGTCACCTAACGTCTATGTCACAATGAGCCTCAGGGAGCATCCTAAGCTACCCTAGAGTAATAATCAACAAGAATCATGATACTTAAACACGTATGAAACGAATCAAGATTTGGATAATTCAAAGAACATGACAAGAATGATGCTTGAATACAAGTTAACAAGAATTACATTATCAATGCAATTAGGCAAAGTTTGGAATAATCCATACAACACGACAAGGAGTTACTAGAATACAAGTTCACATTGTCAAGGCACTTTACATGATTGGAACATACTATTTAACATGACAAGAAGTATATTCGGATATAAGTTAGCAAAAATTACATTATAAATGCAATTGGCATGATTGGAGCATTTCACATACACGAAAAGTTTAAATCTTCAAAGAATAGCAACTTGAAATTTAAAGAATGAAATCAAACAATGTGGAAACTTGGATATCGCCCGGATTAAAACCGTACTCTTGGGATCACTTTAGGGTTACTAACCCAAGGGCACCTTCACCTATTCTTGGGATCACTTTAGGGACTATCAACCCAAGGGTACCTTCCCCTATTCTTGGGATCACTTTAGGGATTATCAACCCAAGGGTACCTTCCCCTATTCTTGATTGATATCCCAAGTTCCAAAATCAACAAGTTGTGCAAGTCAAGATTGTATCAAATACAATAAATACATTAACCACGTTTCATGCACAACCAAGATTTTGGAACACGCAAGTCATGCCCCTAGTTCATCAACTATCATGGCATGTGAGATGACAAGAAATCATAGTATGCAACTATATAGACAACATCCAAGATATATAGCACATGTAGTTCATTGAAGTAAATATACCCCAAGTATAAGATACATAATTCAATTACTTTCTAAGCAACATATGAGTACTTAAATCATTCCAAGACAAGTGTGCATGTTCATTAAGTACATTAATGAAACTAGATACAAGGGGTCATGATTAAACCGATGGAAGCATAAAAAGGAAAATTTAATCAACCTAAGGGACTAAATTATCACGATTACGAGGCAAGTCCAAATGTTCTATGAACAAGGTGTGTTAAGGATCATATCAAGGTCAAGTTCAATGTCAAGTTACAAGTCCATTTCATGCAAGACATAACCATGTGAATTAAGTTCCATACAAAGGAAGTAAATGAATATAAGTTTCAAACTTATCCGATTATTCTCAATTTGATACATGTGAAGGAATTTGTCACGAAAGCATGAATTCTAAGTTAGAAACTTAATCAAGACCAATGAGCTATTGAATGGATTTTAATTATTACACTTAATTAAAATCTCTAAGTTTTGAAATTCATCCAAATGATCTCAAATTTAAATATGTTATACAACATACCATGACATCATTTAAAAACACGACACAAGTGAATTCCATGCAATGAATGGCCATGAGCATTAAACTTTAATACTAGAAAAATAATATATGATAGATTTCAAAACCTAACCAAACAATTTAGATTTAATATATGTGAAACCATATAGCATGCATATCAAGAATGTCAAGTCGGAATTCCAATGGGGTGAATAGTACACCCGGAATAAATTAATTAATCTAATTAATTAAATATTACCAGATTTCAAAACTTCTCCGATTACTCTCAATTTAATCTATGTTGAAGAGTATGCTAGGGCCTAATATAATATGCTAACACACATCGATTTCAAGCTAGTTAAGGCCATATAAATTAATATTTTATTCTAGTAAAATATTAAATAAAATCTTCGTTACTTGTCCAATTTCTCTCAATTTAATATATGTTAATCAACATATCAAGGGGTAATATTCTATCATGCCACATGATTAAACAAAGCTATGGACAACCGGAAAAATTAAATCCTTCACAAGAAAATTAAATAATAAAATCTCTAAATTTCATATTTAAGCATGTAAACAAGTTGTACAAGCATCAATAACATGTTATATAATAATAATTAAACCTATAACACCCCCTACCTCAATTTGAGATGAAAACCTTAAAGGCCCACCGAAAAAAAAGTTATGCGAATCTGCCGAAACCAAAGGGTTTTGTCGGGGATAACA